TCCATAGGGGTGTCTCCAGCACAGCAGCTCTTCGGCTGTAGCTGCAGCTGGTCCCTCGCAACCTATTGGCCTGGAGGTCAATTCCTCCCAGTGATACCAACAGCAACCAAGGCTCAAGTACAACAGGACAGTGCACACAGCCCCCACAGGGGAGCACCTAGAAGGCCCAGCTCAGGTGACTGGGGAGGCTGAGCCACTGGACCCTACAGGACACCTACTACACAAAGCCACTCTACAAATTCCAGGAGACATAGCAGCTCTACCTAATACATAGAAACAAACACCTGGAAGCAGCCAAAATGTGGAGGCAAAGAAACATGTCACAAAGGAAAGAACAGAAGAAATCTCCAGAAAAAGAACTAAATGAAATGGAGCCAAGCAAGCTACGAGATACAGAGTTCAGAATAATGGTCATAAGGATGCTCAAGGATCTTAGTAAGACTATTAAGGAAACTAGTGAGATCATCAATGACATAATAAAGTACCAATCAGAAATGAAGGCTACATGAACTGAAATGAAGAATAATTTACAGGGAATCAACAGTAGAGTAGAGGACGCTGAGAATCAAATCAGCAATTTGGAACATGAGGAAACAAAAAACACCCAACCAGAAGAGCAAAAAGAAAAAAGAATCCAGAAATATGAAGATAGTGTAGGGAGTCTCTGGGACAAGTTCAAGAGGCCAACATTCGTATTATTGGGGTGCCAGGAGAGGAAAGAGCAAGAAATTGAAACCTTATTTGAAAAAATAATGACAGAAAACTCCCCCTACCTGGGGAAAGAAATAGACTTACAAGTCCAGGAAGCACAGAGGGTCCCAAACAAGAGGAACCCAAAGAGGCCCACAGCAAGACACATCATAATTAAAATGCCAAAGGTTAAAGACAAAGAGAGAATCTTAAAAGCAGCAAGAGAAAAGCAGTTAGTTACCTACAAGGGAGCACCCATACGACTGTCAGCTGATTTCTCAACAGAAACCTTGCAGGCCAGAAGGGAGTGGCAAGAAATATTCACAATGATGAAAAACAAGAACCTACAACCAAGATGACTCTACCCAGCAAAGCTACCATTTAGAACTGAAGGTCAGATAAAGAGCTTCTCAGACAAGGAAAAGCTAAAGGAGTTCATCACCACCAGACCAGCACTACAGGAAAAGTTGAAGGGTCTTCTTTAAGAAGAAGCTAATGAACAAAAGAATCTGACAAACTAAATAGATCCAGAGACATTGACACATGCAACAGA